GGTTTTTTGAGACAGGGTCTCAGTTGAGACTGATCTGGAACTCACTATGTAGCCCAGACTGGTCTCAAACTCACAGCGATCCTCCTGCCTCAGCCTCCCAAGTGCTGGGATTACAGGCATTCGCCACCATGCCTGGCAACTTGTGAGATTTTTTTTTAAAGTGTAAGACTCTTCTATTTTAAGAAAGATTGTAGGGCTGGGGATTTAGCTCAGTGGTTCTGCAGCCTGTCTAGCAAGCACAAGGCCCTGAGTTTCATCCCGGTACTGAAAAAAAAAAAAAAGAAAAAGAAAGAAAGAAGAGATAAGTGTAGTTTAAGAAAGATTGTGAAAAAGAGAGAGAGAAAAAGAAAGATTGTGATTTCTCACTCCTAATTCAACTGCTATTTTTTATGTGCATTGCAAATGTATCAAATACCAGACATTGTTTTTCATTCATTTGTTTTTTGGCATTGGGAATGTAATCTAGGGCAAGGCTGTACCACAGAGCTACATCCCCAGCCTTGGCAATGGTATTTAATAAATCAGAACTTAAGGACACAAAGCAAATGTTTCTAGGTCACGTGATCTCTATTTCTCTCTTCGTGTTAATGGTACTATTATTTACTAAGCACTTATTATGGGCAAAACTCCTTTACATGTGTTTAATTTTCACACCAACTATTATCCCCATTAGATACTATAATCACCATTCTAAATTTAAGCAAATGAGGCTCAGGATTTACACAAGGTCACACAAGAGACAAAACCAGGACTAAAATATAGGTGTCTCTGGGGCTTATAACTTGTGTTTATCACCACATGACACAGTCACTGCTAATCTGACATCAATATAGTACACAGACGATGTCAGCATTGAAAAGGTGGTCAGATTCCTTTTAATTTGAGGTTAAGATTTAAAATACAAATTACACAGTTACAACTAATTGGCTAGTAGAACAAAGTGTAAAAATGATGCCCATAAGAATACAGAACTAAATTTAAAGTAGGTTTTTATTTGTGGTTTTGGTTTTTTTGTTTTGTTTTGGTTTGGTTTTGTACCAGGGATCAAACTCAGACCTTGCGCTTGCAAGGCAGGTGGTGGAACCACTGAGCTAAATGCCCGGCCCCAGAACTAAATCTAAAGAATGAGGGGAAAATATTTCAAACAAAATCTTTTTTTTTACTTAAATTGTTTGAACTGTTTTGCTTTGAGGTAACTCCCATGAACAGATAAACGAAATATAGCTTTTATTCTGGCAGCATGATAAAGAGTAGTCTGTAATAAGTCAAAGAATTTCAATGTGCTGAAGGTGTAGCTCAGTGGCAGAGCACTTCCAATGTTATACAAACAGTACACTATTAAAACATTTTTAAAGTTCAGACAATGACATGTATCTTGACATCTACAACAGGCAATTCCTTTTCTGAAAAAGAAAATTGAGTATTTCAGTCTCTTTTACCTCAACCTCAAATTATGACCTTTGAAGACTGGTTCTCTCAGAGATCTGGAAAGCCATGCGGGCTCCTATCTCTTTCCCTAAGCATACTATAGTGCTGACAGCACTGGACCAAAGGGTGCCATCACTCGTTTTCTACTTGTGCGTAGAAACAAGTATTTCTAAAATTACTAAACAGGTTAGTCAAGACAAAATTGTTCTCTGCAGGTCACCCAACGTGATCACTTACTAAAGCCAAGAAGAGCTGAGGGAAAGAACATGAAGATGAAGGCAACAGCAACACCTGTGGATTTTTTTTTTAAACAGTCAAGGTATATTTTTTCAGCAAACTTTATCTTATTATCAGGGTGCCAAAGCCTGAGACACTTCCTCAATGAGATGGAGAAGCCACTTTGAAACAGGAAGGATTTATGAAATAAAACAGTGACTTCAGGTGAACTTTTATATTTAAGAAATGAGCCGATAAATGAGGATCTTGCTGTATTAGGTCCAACAAAATTGTATTAATAGGGTCGGGGATTCAGCTCAGTGGTGCCGATGCCTACCTCGCAAGCACAAGGACCTGAGTTCAATCCCCAGTACTAAAAAAAACCGCAAAGTATTAATGTTTAGATAATATCAATAATCAGCAATAAATCAGGGCTTAAAATAGGTATCTATTAAGCAGGGCATGGTGGCGCACGCCTGTAATCCCAGCACTCAGGAGGCTGAAGCAGGAGGATTGCTGTGAGTTCGAGACCAGCCTGGGCTGCATAGTGATTTCCAGGTCAGTCTCAACTATACAGTGAGACCCTGTCTCAAAACAAAACAAAACAAACAACAAAAAAAAGTATCAAAACAGGTATCTATTTAGTACACTTCTCAGGTGTTCCTTTCCAGCTTGTAAATTCATTCAACAAAAATTTAACAAAAAATACTATATATACCACAGTTAGCCTAATATAAATTCCACAATAAAACTGAACTAAGAAATAAGCAAATATTAAGGGGCTTACTAGTACTATGAAAGTTTAATGCAAATCCATGCACTTAGAATATCACTTCAGAATATTAATTCCACTACCTGCAGCAAAATGCCCAATTTCAATATCTTTTCCATTACCATGAAAAGAGTAAAAACTAAGCAAGGTAAAGGCAAAAGCAAATAAAAAATTGTGATAAGGGTAAATAATATCAGAAATTCACAATAAATAGAAGTACTATTTATATTATAGCACTGTATGTACTGACAATTTAGTGTCCTCTTGGTGGTGGCGGTGGTGTTTGTGTCTGTGAATAAAATAGTTATTTCACTGGCCCACTAAAGGATCCAAGTCTTTTATAATTGCATTAAAGGAGTAAAAATGTTGATTGTTGAATGATTCCACTATTTCTTTATAAATGACAGGACTAAATTTTAATTGCCTGTCTGGTAGCCAGAATGACTCCTCAATACTTAATATTCATCTTATCTTGAGCACAAATGGCCAATTCCTAAATCTTAGCTCTGAATCAAAAATTGAAAAGACTAAGTAAAAGGTATGAACAAAAGGGTCAACCAAACAGTAAGCAGGGACAAGTGATTAAAACCAAAAGACAAAAATGCCAAATTATACAGAAGCTGCTGTTCATTTGGACCTCAGCCCAGAACAGAAAATTGGAGGAGAAATTCAGTAGATTAAAGGGATCCAGGTTCTAAATCTGCTGCCTCATTCCTTTCTCTGCAGAAGCTTCCTCTGACAGTTGGTATGAAAATGGCCATAACCACATTGGAAAAATCCCAAAAGGCCACCAAAGCTCTTTGACAGATGGAAATTCATTGTTACAAAAATACAGTATATAAGAAAATATTACATTTTTTAGAAGGATCAACTCAAGAATCTGGCAAAGGAGACAATGGAAGCATTTTAAAGAACTCTCAAAATCTGTCCCTTGACAAAACGCATTATTTTTTCTTTCAAAGACTCAGTAAGAACCACCACCTGCCGGCGTTGCGTATTTTTCTCAGAAGGCATCTGCACTGCAGATCTCTTTGCGAGGGGAACTTGCCACGCAGCTCCTACCAGCAAGCAAACGCACGTACAATGGAAACTAACGAAGGCCTACAGCTTCCCTCCGGGTCTTTCAGACACGGGAGAAGGGGGTTCAATCAGCCCTGGCTTTGTCTGAATTTTCCCCTCCCCCTTTCTGCAGTAAACACCCACCCTTCTTTATACCGCAATCAATAATAGCCCACAGAAAACACGAAATCAGAAGGTGTTGATGGCTTGGCATGACTCTACCTTCTAAAATATAAGCGACTGATTGCGTGTCCCCAGCCCAATGCAGTGCCCATGAATAGCTCACAGTATTGTAACTGCAGCCACGCACGGATCCATCTTGGACCATCAGCTGCTCCCTCCCAAATCTTCCCTGAGCTATTCTCATCACGTCTCCTCTACCTCGAAGCCTTAGAAAAACCGGGCATTCACAGGAACTAGTCGAAAACAGTACAGAAACGAGCTGCACTGCTTTCATTAAACTTCCTCATTTTCCCCACGGGCAAACAAAAATTTTTGGAGCATTATTAGGCGTGTCTGACTATGTCAACACCTGTCGGCAAACCTACAACGCAACCCTTTCACCATCCTCCTATGAAATCGTAACGAATCCTTTCCACGACCCACCTCCTCCCACGCTTTCAACCTCGCCAATCTCTCACTGAATCACCCCGGCTCCGCGGAGGGCTCTCTGGCCTCCCCGAACACAGTCCAACCCTTACATCGAGCAATTCTCCGATTCATTCCACCCTCCCCAGGCTGCGTCTCCCCCACTTACAAGGGCTCCGTGTACACGCCCTCCCCGCCCCCAACCTGTTTTCCCTACACCCCGTTATTTCCTCACGGCCGGCACGACCTTTCGCTCTCCTCCCCCTTTACCCACTTTCCAAACGTCCGTCCCCGGGGGCTGCCACCTTCCCCGGGGCTCCCTCAGCCCCGGCCCCTGTTCCCCGCGCCTTCCCTCCCCGAGGCGGGGGCTCTCGGCGCGCCTCACCCGCACAG